AAGAAACACATCTAGACTTTTTCTAGGATGTTTAGGCCCCGGCACTAATATCGACAGGAACAAAAACTCTCTATTCATGCACATGTTCAGAGGCAAATTGTACGGTGTCAGAATCACCGGCCACAGAGAGTAATTCGGACCAGACATTCCAAATGGATTAAACCCATCCGTACATATACATTTCTAGACTCGCTTGCGAAATCAGGAAATACCTGTTGAAAATGTTTCCAAGCCAATCCATCAGATGGATGATGCATTTCTCCTTCTGGAGTACAATGTTCCGCGTGCCAGCGCATATGTGATGCAGTCTTCTCGGATTGATATAACCGCTTTAATCGATCCGTTAATGGCATATAAAACATTCTTTTAAAAGGAATTAACTTGCCTTTTTTTGAAGATTTCCGTCGTGGTCGGTATCTGTCTTTGTTACAGAACCGACATTGCATCAGATCTGAATCGTCTTTCCAGAAAATCATACAGTTGTTCTCGCACACATCAATCTTCTGATACGGTAAACCCAACGTCCGCATTAAACTCTTAGTTTCATAATAAGATTCAGGTGCAGTGTTACCTTCTGGGAGATAATGTTTAAACATCTGGGTGAAACCGTCCATACACCTTTCTGGAAGATTATAATCTGTCTTCATATTCATCAACTGTGAAGATAATGATAACCTTGAAAGACCTTCGACGCATCCATCGTATATCGCCGTATTCGCCGTATGAAGCATACCATAAAACCTTTTTGCTTCTACGTTGGGTTCCTCCTCCATGTGGGGCGATGGAACAATGTTGGGAAATGCATCACTCACCATTTCCGTGTATGGATTCCTTATTTCTTCTCCAAATGTCATCTCCGACGTCGTATTATTGATTTCTTCATATCCAACCATATGTACATCTTGTGATGATGATGTATCATAGGTTTCTCCATGTGCAAGCCAAACAAAATAATTCGGCATGAAACCTTTACGATATAAGTGATTCCACACTTCACTCAAACTCCGCCATTTTTTATTCTGGCACTTTACACACGGACAAGGCAGCTTTTCGCTCTCCAAATACGACTGATTTGACGTGGCAAACGACATAAAATTTTGCAATCCTTCTTCATATTGCTTTGAGATTTGATTCGTAATAGAATCAATTCTTTCATACATCCATTGTCGAGAATAAAACGACATTTTTCTTTTGACACTTTCTATTTTTTTTTCTCTTTGGTAAAGAGACTACATGCCGCGGCTGTTAAATAGATTCGAACGTGCGACGGAAATGCGACGGAAAGCGACGGACTCCACAAATTGCGACGGACGCACAACGGAATGCGACGGAATTAGGTCAAAACGAATAAAACGTGTTTAACTACCTGCGACGCACCGAATCCGTCGCAGTCCCGACGGAAATGTCTGTCCCCATCCGTCGCTATGTTTGTGCGACGCAATATATCCGTCCCACTCCGTCGCATAATTTTCCGACGAAAGTTCGGTCGCAAATATCGGTCGCAGTCCGTCGCAATCCGTCTGACAAAATTACCGACGGAAATATTCGTCGGTTGTTGTCGAAATTTTTCGACGGATTGAGCGACGGGTTACGACGGATGCAAATCCGTCCCATTACCGTCGTTGTCCGTCGCAAATATCTAGCGCGACGGAATTTCCGTCGCATAGTCCGTCGGTATATACAGTTTTTCTTGTAGTGAAAAAGTGACATATCTAGTGGGAAAAAAAACATTACCATGTATTAATGAACAGATTCTTCTAAAAAATGTTATATATGTGTCTAAATCGAATCAAACACAAACGTACGTATATATATACATAATACACACTGTACACATTATCATTAGTTAATGTTCATTTTTTTTTGCTCACGTGGGTGATTCGTTCCTCGAAACCGATTTTTTTGGAACCAAACCATCTAAAATTATTGAACTTAAAAACCCGTTTTTTTTAATCAAACCGAAAAGAATTTTAAAAAAACTCCAAAAAATCGATTTTTTTTTAAGAAAACCTAAATTTTAGAATAAAACCGGAACCGAATCAAATCGAAATCAAACCGAATAGAATATAATAACTGAATAGTATATATTTTAGTAAAACCGAAAACTGTCAGATTTGAACCAAGGTTTATACATATGTCCGAAAAAAATCGAGCAGGCCCACCAGTGCAAATAATGGAACACAGAGAATATAATTATTGATGTTATTACGAATATAATTGAATTCGATGGGAATATGTTTGAGGAATGGGACATTCTCCTGTTCAGCTCGACATACCACGAAAACAAATCCCATGCGCACATCTCATCATCACTCACATCCATCTCTCCCTCTCCCCTTTGCGAAGAACACCCCGTCAAAAAGAGTATGGCGAGAAAACGTGAAAATACTAGGATGGACGCAGTTCGGATATCCGGAAAAATCAGGGTATTTGGATTCGGATCCGGAAGACTCGGATGTTTACTTATAAGATTTGTATCCGGGATTTGGGGTTTACGAGTATTCAGGGTACGTTATCCGGAATAATGTATAGGAAGATATTATTCTTATAATATTATCATTAATATTGTTATGATTTACCCTAGATATTATGTCTAGAATATTCTATTGTATTTTGCTATATATTATGATGTATTCTTCCCATTATCAATAACAGAAAACATTTCCCTATTATGGTATCAGAGCCTGGTTCTTTTCTAATTTGTTGTTCTTTTCATAAAAATGATGATCGATAATGAGAGTGAAGATGAAGATGATGATATACCGATCCAGTGGTAATATCATTTCGAGATTTTTTTTAAGAATAAGAGAGTCATTTTATTTTTGTTTTGTTTTTTTATTTTCTCTCGTAATCTCACATATTTCTAAAGATTATTCGCATAACCGCCATTTTATTCGGTTACTAACAGATACACGGATCCGAATTTATTTAAAAAAATAACAATATTTATATATAAAATGTTCAAAAAATGAAGATATATTTATAAAAGTAGATGAATTATGATAAAAAATATGAGATAAAAAGAGATAATAAGAAATAGGTAATAATAAATTTAGTTTTTTTGTGATAATGTTAAAAAAATGTGAAATGATTTAACCTAAAATAATCATATTTTATCAAAATATTATATAGATATAAGATATACTTATTTATAACTATATTAGTCGGATATCCGCGGATACCCGGTTTTAAAAATTCTATTATTGGATTCGGATGTACGGGTATTAAAAAATACGGATTTGAATTTTGGATTTGAATAGGTACGAGTATCCTAAAATCGGGTATCCGCGATACGAGTATCCGGCGGATATCCGATTTTCGGGTATTTGTACACAATCATTACTTTTCGTAATTCTATAATAATAATAAAAAGATATATACATAAAAAAAATATAGTGAAATTCCGTAGTAAAATATTTGAGTTGTGTATCGTGTTTCGGCTCTTTTATAGTCGGATTCCTGATCGCCGGCAGAAGACTAACGGAGAACAACGACGTGATCCTAATGAGTGTGTGTTTCGGACTTCGATTACTTTAATTTACTTGCACATATAATCACGTGCATATGATATAAATTTACTAATATATATATATATATATATATATATATATATATATGTGTGAATGACAGCCCATAAATTCCCCTTTCATTATTTTTAAAACGTAATTAGTCTATTAAAAAAATTAATAAAATAATAAAACATCGTATCAAAAAATACTACGATCTTCTATGAATTTTAGAAATCTTCTTGTATTAAAATTAAAAACCATCAATCTAAAAAATATCAACCTTTTTAAAATTTTGATAATTATTTTTTTTCCACAAACTTTCATGCCGCTAACGCATACCATGAAATGCATTTACACATATGTAATCTCGAAGTACCAAATACCAAAGATTATAATTGTTTTTTTTAAAAAAGGTGGGTCAATAATAAGGATATTATTATTTATTTCAATAAATAAAAGTGGTGCTGCAGTACGGTCGTGGAACGAGTTTTATAATTGTGGACACGAGAATCGCAGGGTGGGACACAAAGTGGTTAGCCTGCACTTGATGCTAACATTAAATACGACGTTTGCATTGCACCCGGTTTCGAATCATCTCTCCATCTGTTCCCGTCGCTATGGAAGCTACAGAGCTTGCTCGGTTGCCTTCTCCGGCGTGATTGCTTCACCGCCGTCACGGGTGTCAATTTATGTTCGAAATCCGAAATCCGTCCCGAACCCACCCAAAAATCAGGCTTCGGGCCTAAGTTTTTCGGACTATAGATTCGAACTTCAGGCTTGGTTATATAGACTCGAAAAAAATTGGGCTGACTCGAATCCGAGTCCAAACCATCGGGCCGAATGCGAGCTTGGACTGACCCGATTGATACCTTTACCTGTGTGGCAGTAACTAAAATTCAGGTTTTCGAAACGAGTAGAGCTCATGTGCTTAGCGTTTATGAACCCTCTGGGGTGTTTACGAACCCGAGTCCAAATTCAAACTTTGCCAGTCAATTACCCATACCCATGTACAACCCGAACCAAGGGAGGGAGGAGTGAGGGCGAGCTCGAGCCAGGGAAGTGAGAAGCGAGAGGAAGTCGACAAAAGGGGGAGACCGGGAGAGTGGCTAGGGTTTTGTGAAATCGTGTTTCTCTCCCGCCACACTACTAAACCCGCACTTTCGAAAGAGGACGATGGGCAGTTCACTCACCGCACTCTTGGATCAGATACATATCTCACTCACCCTCAGACCTCGACTCTCACCCTCTCACCTCATCGGCCGGATACCCTACAGAACCGTCGTTGCACTCCGCAAGCACCTAAAACTCAGATATTCGATCCCCACGAGGTAGAAATTGGACTTTGTGACCGAAAAATCCGAAGAGATAAGATCAAAGATGAATACATTGGAAAACTCGTATACCCGACCTGCATTCACCCGAATCACCCCGAGCGGTAATTTCTTCCTTTCGGTCACAGTTTTTCCTTGGTTTTGAATCGAAGACGTGCAATTCACACAAACCAAATATGATACCGTTCCAAAACACATTTCGGACATCATATTCCAATACATATCATCGATTTAACAAATACAAAATCCATCTTGAAACGTCAAAGTTCAATGGCCACTACAAAAAAAGCTGAAAAGAAGCAAAGCAAAAGAGAGAGAGAGAGCGAGAGAGAGAGAGGGTG